TAGGTGACAGAGGAGTGCATATGAAGTGCCTGGGTCACGCTTTCTCCTGCTGGGGACAGTTCCACCAGGGCAGGTGACAGAGTGGGAACCCTCACTACTTATTCTGATCAGCCCTCACTTCAGAGGTGGCACAGCAGGTGTGCCTGGCAGCATTAAGCTATGGGCTTGACTGACTCCCAGGTGTGGCCAAGCCTAGACAGGAGGAAGGTAGAAGAGGTAGACCAGGCATCCACATGCTCAGGGGTCACAAGGCAGAAGGTGGACAAACGATTTGGAGTGGAAGCCCCACCCCCTTGCTGAGCCTTGAGGTAACAAGGCTCTGGAGAGGTACCAGGATGCCAGTACTAAAGGCCAAAGAGGATACAGCAGGCAGGCCAGCGGGAGGCCCCTCAGAATGCACAGAAGGCAATGTGTACATGGCTGAGGCTGGTTGTTGAGATGTGTGGGCAGGCATGTGGGGGGCTTGGCAGGTCCTGGGCAGCGGCTGAGCATGGAGAGTACACTAGGACCTCACCCCACTCACCAGGGCCAGTGGCTTCTGGACTTCCTCTGACCCCGGTCCAGCTCTTTCCTGACATCTGGTTGGGAGATCAGGCTGGGTCTTGGGGGGTCTGCTGAGAAAGCACAGGTCTGTCACCAAGGAGGATGTGAAGAGCATCCATGCAAACAAGAGTCAAGGCCTAGACAGGCGTGGTGGTGCATGCCTTGAATCCCAGCACTCAGGAGGCAGAGGCAGGTGGATCTCTGTGAGTTCAAGGTCAGTCTGGTCTACATAGTGAGTACTAGGCCAACTACAGAGGGACCCTGTCTCAAAAAGACCCCCCCAAAAAAAAGTCAAGATCAATATATTCTTTCTGAGTTTAAAAACAGAAAAAAGACAGACTTAGCTCAACACCAAGCTGCAGCTGAGAAACTGCCCTATGGGACTGAGCCCCACAGACTGGGAGACCCCACCGCCCATGATCTTTTACTTTCTTCATCTTTTGGGATAAAACACTGTATTGTTTCTTGGGAAAGAACAAAACAGGGAAATTAGAGAGGGGAGGTATATGAGGATGGGGTGGCAGTGAGGAGGAATGGGCAGAAGTGCACTGGGGCCTCAGTCCTAGAGTCTGCTGTACAGCAGTGGACTGGGCAGGTTGGCTGTTCCCCCAGCAGAGGCCTGCTGGCACAGCTGAGTTTGGGAAGTGCTCCTGTGAACAATGAGGTTTACACTGAAGTCCTGCTGTCCTTCTGCAAGTCAGGAAGGAGGGTCCCTTGGCCAAGTTCCAGCAAGAACTCTGGGCTCCCTCTGTTCCCCTCCAAAGTTCAGTTTCAAAATGACTGTCAAAGAGGGACACTCCAGCTTCCTCATGGGCCCCACGTGTTGTGGAACACACCTTTAATCCCAGGTTGGGAGGCAGAGGCAGGCAGATTTCTGTGGGTTGGGGCCCAGCTAGTCTACACAGGGAGTTCCAGGCCAGCTAGGGCTGCATAGTAAGACCCTGTCTCAAAAAATCAGAAAGCAGAGGCTGGAGAGATGGCTTAGCAGTTAAGAGCACTGGCTGCTCTTGCAGAGGACCTGGGTTCCAGTCCCAGCACCCACATGGTGATGAACAACTGTCTGTAACTCCAGTTCCAGGGGATCTAACGCCCTCTTCTGACCTCCATGGGCATTGCACAACACAAGTGCACTTACACACATGTAGGCAATATACTCATACACATAAAATAAAAATAATAAATAAAATATTTTGTTTGTTTTTTGGTCTTTTTGAGTCAGGTTCTCCCTGTAGCGCCAGCTGGCCTGGAACTCACTGTGTAGACCAGGCTCACAGAGAACTCACAGAGATCCACCTGCCTCTGCCTCACGAGTGCTGAGATTAAAGGCGTGTGCCACCACGCTCGGCCTATATTTTTTAAAAAAGTAAAAAGCAAAACAGCCTTGTTGTGGACCAACTCCTTATAGACTGACCAGAAAACTGAGTAGGACAGCTCACAGGGCTCACTGGGCACAGGGCATGGTTTCGACACAGTGGCTTCTGTTGGTCTCCTGTGCTCACTGTAAATCACCTGCAGAGGCTCTGCAGCACACACTAGGACACCCCAGTGAAAACAGCAGGTCACCAGTCCCCACCTGGTGAAGCTTCCATTCCAGGTGATTTAGCACATCGTTAGAACATGACAGCGCAACAAGCCAGCTAGGTGAGGGATGCGGTGTGTTCAATGGGGTCGCAGTGCAGAGGTGAGACAGGTCCCAAGAAGTGTTGGAGGAGACAGCAACCACAGGGATCCTGAATGGCCTGCCCAAGGAATGCTCTCTAGTTACAAGCAGGAAAGCATGGGAACAGGCTGCAGGAACAGGCAGGGGCCAGAGCAGGGTTCCTCAGGCTCAGCGCTGCCCACAATGAAGGCTGGGTAATCCTTGGCTACAGGGGCCTCTCCCCATGCACTTCGGGGACCCTGCCACTACCAGACAGCAGGGGCTCCCCCACTCTGAGCACCAGAACTTCATCCTGTGGGTGACGGGGGCACAGGTGATCACCAAGCAGGGCAGTGACTGGGACACCAGGCTCAGGTGACACTTACTGAGCAAGAAAAGGTGCTGGTAGTTTTTCAGTGTTGCAGCCCAGAACAGGTCTCCCTAGGCCAGACCCAGCTCCTCCCAGTCTTCCAAGGTGAAGTCCATGACCACGTCCTCGAGGGCCACTAAGTCCTGAAATGAAGCACACTGTCAGTCACTCGGAGGCCCAGCATACAGCAGGCTAGGCATGGGCAAAAATAACCCTGTAGGCAAAGATGCAGGGCCTTGGACAGGGACAGGATGCCAATTCAGTCACAAGGGGAGGATGTGGCACTGGAGGGATGGCTCAGTGGTTAGACAACTAGCTGCTCTTGCAGAGGACCTGGGTTCAGTTCCCAGCACACATGGCAGCTAACAACTGTCCATAACTCCAGTAAATAAAAATTAAATATTTAAAAAATAAATAATAAAGAGGTAAAATTGTTGGCAGTCTCTAACTGAACAAATGAGAAGAGTGCTACTAAGATTTCTGATACTCTACAGAATGAGATAAGTGAATTACCTCCCCCCCAACCCAGAGGCTGCAATTTCTCTAACACCAATATTCCAACAATTTTTTTTCTTAAGCCACAGTGAGGAAGCGGATATGGGGTTTTCGATCCACAGATCCAATCAGCCTTGGGTAGAAAACAGTTTGAAACAAACAAATCCTGTCAGATGTATGCTGTCATTTTTCCTTACCTTACTACGACGACAATTTTGCACAGAATTTACATGGTATTAGATATGATCTACAGAGAATTACAATGCATGGGACGATGTGCAGAGGTTAGGTGTGTGTACTGAAGAGGTGGGTCACAAGTTGAAGGCTAACCTGGGCTATACATCGAGGGGGTTGAAGCCCATAGGTGGGTAAGATCAAGATACACTGTATACTTGCTTGAAATGGTTAAGTGTGGCAGAAAATTCTTCAGACAGCAGAGACCAGGCTCACAGGAGAGAGTTGGAAATTTCACCTATTCCTTACTCATGCACGAGGTCCCCAGGGAAGCAACATTTGGCTTCTGGATCCTGGGCCATCCACCGTACAGATGAGGCTTTTATGGTCAGTTTCACATCATATGGTGATAGATAAAATTCAGGAGGGAAAAGCCATTCAGGAGGACTCCAGGCAGAAATCAAAGCAGAGCTTTATTTCCAGAAGTCACCGGGAGCATCCCTCATCGGTAAAAAGGAATCTGCCGCCTTTCAGGCTGCTGGCTGGGGGGTTTATGGGGTTGGGAATGCGGAAAGCGGAAAACAGTTTAAACAAGAGGTCTGGGGGCTTAACAGGGTGACACAGATTCTGTTGAAACTGCCCGTTATATCGACCAGGGTCTGGGTCACGGGATGAGGGATCTCTTTTCTCTTCTAAAATTATCAAAGGGGAAGCAGGTAGTGCTGAAACAGCTCTTGCAGCAATCGGGTCTCAGTCATCGGTGCAGGGAGTCTGTTCATCCTGTCTGCGGATGGTCAGGGTGCTCATTAACTTACTTCCTGTATTTGGACAGAGGGCTTGTCTTATTGCACTGTAGAGGGGGCTGCAGTAGGTCAGACCCTAACATATGGTATGTTCAGCGCCTGGGCCCTGCGTTTCCCTTCGTGATGGGCCATGCTGTTTCCGGAAATTCCTTCCTGACTCCATTCGGCCAACACGGTTTTCAAAGCAGACTCCAGACGTGGGCTCTGCGGCTGGACCGGGCCCACCGGCCTCCTATCCACAACACAGCACAGTAGACTTCTGAAACGCGGGGTGTCCGCTCTCCTCAAGTCGGACATGGAGGGCGGGAAGCACCGCTGCCACCAGGTGAACCTCCACCTTCAAGTAGGACGTGGAGGCCGGAAACCGCCGCAGCTTCCCGCCTTCTGAGGAGACCCGACTCCTGGCAATCGAGCTTCCCTCAGAGCAAGTTCCTGGGCCTGGAGCCTCTCCTCAGAGCAACTTCTAGGATTCTCTCCTCAGAGCACCTTCCGGTATCAGGAGCCTCTCCAAGGAGATGTTCCACCCAGCAGCCTCAGTGCCTTCACTTGCCTTCAGGGCTCCACCCGCTGAGCACTCTGGGAAATGGAGTGGAACCAATCAGAAGTAGAAGGCGTCAAAGTTGCCGTGCAGCCTTTACCCTGTAGGACCACCCACCTTCCCGAAACTTCCCAAGGAAACACTTTATGTTGATTCCTAAGGAGGCCTGGCGTGGTGGCACACGCCTTTAATCCCAGTACTGGGGGCGGAGGTAAATGAACTCTGTGAGTTCGAGGCCAGCCTGGTCGCCATAGCAAGTTCCAGGCCATCTGGGGCTGATTGGTGAAACTATCCCGCGCTTCATCCCGATTGGGTTCAGTTTGGCACATGCGCAGTAAGATTAGGAAGAGCGCCAAAAAATAGCGTTAAGTGTGAGCTATGAGGAAATAATCCCTTTTCCGGTCCTAGGCAGAGGCATGCCGCGAAGACGTCTGGGAAATGTAGTTCCCAGCCGGCCATAGCCGGGAGTGGCGGGAGTTAGAGGAAGCCAGCAGCGCCTGCGCACCGCTGTCAAACCGCCGGGTGCACACCCGGATGCGCGCGCAACGCCTCCGGCTCTCCCGGAAGTTTCCGCAGGGCAGCTGAGAAGGTAAGTCTCAGTTCCTTCAAAGGTTCCGAGCGAGGGTCGAGCTAGGGGAGGTTTCCAGACCCTCCCTCCGGTGCGGCTCTGCCGTGGTGCCTGTGACGTCACCTGTGGGAAATGGAGGGGCCGCGGAGCCTCAGGGTCGCTGGGAGAAGCTGCCGAGCTTAACGCTCCGCTCCCCCCCCCACCAAGTTCCTTCCACAGCTCCGGGCGGGGGCGGGGCTACAGGGGCGGGGGCGGGGCTATGAGTGGCGCTCCGCCCTCACTGTGACGTCTTACGTTTCGCCTTGCGGAATGGGGCTGTTAGCTAGGCTGTTATCTAGTGCAGTTTCTGGAGAGGTCTAGCCTTTACCTATCCTAAGCTGTAGTCTTGGAACCCAGCAGAAACATAGTCGTTGATACCAAGCCAGAGTTAATATTGATCACGATTAAATGAATGAAAAATAATGGCAGACTTGAGCATGGTATTCTGAGCCGCATGCAGCCATGGATGGGGGCCTCAGGCACTTTGAACCCCTTTGTTTCATCCATCTGCACTTATCGAGTGCTTACTGTATGTAAGGCTTCGTGCAAGAGACTCCTCCCCTGGGGTTAGCTCTGAACTCTGTAGTCTAAAGGGCCTGCCCCTCCAGGGACACTGGCTCCCACCGAGAATCCCAGCACTCAGGAGGCTGAGGCTGGAGGATTACAGGCAGGTTGAAGCCATCCTGGCCTGTACGGTGAGTTCCAGGCCAGCGGCGCCTGCAGAGTGAGGCCCTGTCTCAATAAGTAAAGCCCAGTGTGATGGTGCACTCCTGTAGTCTCAGCACTTGGTGAAGAGAAGGAGGGTCAGAATTTCAAGGCCAGCCTGGGCTACATAGTAGTTCTAGGCCAGCCAGGGCTACATAGTGAGCCCTGTCTCAAAAAAGAAAAAAAAAATAGAGAAAGAAGGAAGGGAGGGATCAGGAAAGGAAAGGTGCTGGACAGATAGTTAAGAGCACTGACTGCTCTTGCAGAGGACCCAGAATCTGGTGAGTTCCCAGCACCCACATGGCAGTTAACAGGGGATCTGACACCCTCTTCTGTCCTCCATGAGCATTTCATGCACAGGTGCACTTTCATACACACAAAAACTCTCATACACATTAAAACAAAAAGGCCAACAAAAATAAATAAAAGAAAAATATGGCTGAAGAGGGTTCAGTAGTTAAGAGCAGTGGCTGCTCTTACAGTGGACCTGTTCGGTTCCCTGCACCTGCATGGCAGCTAACAACTGTAACTCCAGTTGCCTGTGAGCATTGTAATCACCAGTGCACTTAAAATACATGCAAGCAAAAGTCATCCACACAATAATAAATTTTTAAAAACTGAATCATGAGCCGGGTGTGGTGGTACACGCCTTTAATCCCAGCACTTGGAAGGCAGAGGCAGGCGGATCTCTGTGAGTTCAAGGCCAGCCTGGTCTACATAGTGAGTTCCAGGACAGCTGGGGCTACAAGGGAGACCCTGTCTCAAAAAAAAAAAAAAAAAAAAAAAAAAAAAAACAAAAAAAAGAGACAGTAAAAAAAAAAAAAAAAAAAAAAAAAAGATAAAACCCAAAAACTGAATCATGTTAGGTGGGATTAAGCACTAAGGAAACAGGGAACCCGAGGATGGGGTTGGGGCTGCAGTCTGCACAAGGAAATAAGGGGACAACTCCGAAATGCAAGGAAAGAGACGCATCCAACCCCAGAGGACGGTGGTGGGGTACTGTTAGAGACCAGGTCTCATTGTGTAGTCTTGGCTGGCTTGGAACTGGCTATGAAGACCAGGCTGGCCTTGAGCTCACAGAGATCTGCTTGTTTCCACCCCCCAAATGCTGGAGTGACAGGCTTGCAGCACCACACCAGCACCATTTGGGGTTTTGAAACAGGATCACACCCTGTAGCCCAGGGTGGCCTGGAACCCACAATCCTTCTGCCTCAAGTAGCATATGTTGTGCCCCGTTCGCAAGACCCCAAAGACCACCAAGGAGCTGACCAATGCAAACACACAAGGGCTCTTTTATTGTTGCAAGCTTAAGCTTGGGTCCACTCTGTCACCAACTCAGCGGATCTCAGATGTGAGACCCCTTGCTTTGGGAGACAGAGGTTTTTATAGGTTAAGTTCAGCAAGTAGGGGAGTAGGAGGTCTTCATCCTGGCAAGCCTCTGATTGGTTGCAGCTCAGTGCCAAACCATAAACTGCTGGCTTCAGGAAATCTGAAAAGATATCTGGACTTTTAGTACCTTCCTGTCCATGGTTAATTGACCATTGGCGGGGGAGTTGTTTTCTATCCGTTCCAAGTATTGTGGTTTTTCTTGGAACAGGGCCCAGGGCTAGGTCAGTCCTATGGAGGTTTTATCCAAGATGGAGTCACTCAGGTCTCTCATTCCTCCCTCTGACTGACTAGTACCTTGGGGGCCCAATCATGGGCGCTTCCTCACCTCATGTTCTTCATCACCCAGACTCTGGAGGCACTGATAGTGGGTTCACATTCCCATTAGCTGTATAGCTCCCAGCCACTCTTTAATAAAAGCTACCAATTTATTTAAAATGCAAGGTCCAAAAGTCAAGAGCATAATCAGAATGAGGAGGGGTCCGAGTAAGGTTATAATCAAAGTGGTCAACCAAGGGGAGCTATTGAACCAGGATTCAAACCATCCTCATTTAGCCCTATATTCATTCTGTCTTTGAGCCAGACTTTTTCTAACCTTGGCCAGGGATTCCTTAATGACCCCAGAGTGATCTACATAAAAACAACACTCTTCCTTAAGGGCAGCACAGAGGCCTCCCTGCTGCAAGAACAACGGGTCTAGGCCTCTCCTATTCTGCAGAACCGTTTCTGCTAAGGAGGTTAGGGATTCTTGTAGAATGGAAATAGACTTTTCTAAGTTCTGGATGTCCATGTCTATTGCGGCTCCAAGGCTATGGTAGTTTTGGCTTTGTAAGGTCAAGGCTGAAATTCCTGTACCTGCTCCTGCCAGTCCCAATCCCAGAAGAACAGATAGGGTGATGGCAGTAATAACTTCTCTTTCCTGGCAATTACAGTGAAGGGGTCCTTGTCTGGTCAGGGCCCTATTTATATTCTGGTCTGAGTGATAAATAATTCTAGGGATTAGTTGTACTAGAGCACAAAAATCTGATGATTGATTAAGAACTTTAGAATGGACACATGGGGTTAATCCCGAAGTACATGCCCATCACCCTTGATCTGGTGGTAGCAAGCACGAGTTATTGGCCAGCACTGGCAGAGTCTGATTGCATAGGGCAGTGTACTCATGAGGGGGCTTGCCTATACCTAGCCCTCATCCTGAAACATCTTGTAGCGTAAGCCTGATTCCTTCCTGCTGAGCCCATCTACAGCTGCCTTGGTCCAGTGCTAGGGTGGTGTTTCCTATGAATGCAATCCCCTCATAGTGTGGGGGCCTTGATGAATAACATAACCAGCATAATGAGGTGAGGTCTGGCCTGGTATCATTGAGTACCTGGTAAGTCTGGACCATTAATCACCAAAGCAGGTCAGTGTTGCCTATAGGAAGGCCCTGGCTGTCAGAATAGCCATTATTTGAGGGGCCGCCATGGTTGATAAGATTGATTCTGGGGTGACCTTTAAAACAGCACCTGGTCCCAAGGGGACCGAACCGGTCTGGTACTGAGGAACTCTTAATCGAATAGAGAATAAAGTTCCTGGATCTGGTTCGGTCCAGCCCACATAGAGTCTTATTTCCCAAATTTTTCCCGCTTCCCAGCCGGTGGCTCTCTTTCCTTCTTCAGTAAAACTAATATTGAGCCTACCATTTTTATGAGGATTAGTGGGTATCGGTTGCTCCCACGTTATCTTAATAAGATCTCCTCCCTGAGGGGTCCACCATATGTGTCCCGTTATTTCACAGCCCCATCGAGCACAATAAGTAGCACGGTCCTCTTCACACCTGTTTCTCTGGGACTTGTATTTTGGAGTTCCAGGCCCTGGGCAAACGTAGAACCGGCCTGGTTTTCTGTTTGGGCCTGGAGAGTTAGTTAGAGCATTAAGATGTGCGCCTCCCTTAGGATTGAAATCAAAGAAGGCATCTAAACGGGAGTGCAGAGTTGGGAACCAAGTGGCTGGAGGCACTACTTGGGAGATCTGAAACAATATACAATATATTACCTCCTATCACATCTTGGAGGACCCAAGTCAGATTCATAGGTTGATGCGGGCTTCCCAGAGCAGGAGCGGCTATCATGGGAACAGAGTATACACAGTCAACAGTTTGAAAATCGGGTGAGCTTTAACTTGAGCAGATTGTTGGGGTCCTTTGAAACTCTCCATCCTGAAGCTGGGGATGCGCAGTCCTCTACGGCAAACGGGCCAGCTGGCCGTACATGTGTGTGGTGGATCCATGATGCTACACCATCCACTTTGAGGGCTGTGGGGGTGGTCAGTAGGACGACATAGGGACCCCTCCACCATGGCTCTAAGGATCCTTGCTGATGCCTCTTAACATAGACCCAGTCACCAGGTCGATATCGATGAGGTTCTGGAGGGGGTCCTATCTCATAAACAGCACGTAGTTTAGGCTATACATGTTTATGGGACCATTGGACTCCCCTGAGGTCATTCGACAGGTCCCAATCTTTAAATTCAGTAATCTCTGCCTGGTGGTTAGGAATAATGGGAGGGGGCACTCCAAACATGATCTCACAGGGAGTTAATCCCATCCGGTAAGGGGAGTTACGTACTCAATAGAGTGTGAATGGAAGGAGAGCCACCCAGTCACCACCAGTCTCTAAGGTCAATTTAGTTAAGGTCTCTTTCAGAGTTCTATTCATTCTCTCTACCTGTCCTGAACTCTGGGGTTCTATAAGCACAATGCACAATGTAGTTTCCAATCAATTCCCAGAACTGTGGCCAGACTCTGACTTACCTTGGATACAAATACCGGTCCATTATCTGACCCTATCATCTGCGGAAAGCCATACCTGGGGAGGATGTCTTTCAACAGTTTCTTTGCTACCATTTGAGCT